CGTTGCGCCACGATTGAGGACAGGAGGCCACTGCCGTTGCTGCTTCTGCTGCTGCTGCCGTTTTGAAATGTTTCTGGTGCTTTTTGGTGGTGGTGCTGCTGGTGGTGATGAACGTGCGTCAGCGGTGGAGATGAACTTGATCTGATAGTGGCTCTACTTTCATCATCACTATCATCGCCGTTTGAACTTTTATTATCACTGGCGCCTAGGCGATTTTGACTGTTGTACTGCTGCTGCTGTTGGCCGTTTCTGGCTGAAGCTCGTTTTTCTACTGTTTGGTTGGTTGCAAATGGCGGTGTTGTTCTTGAAACTAAATGCACATCTTCCTCCCCTTCCCCTTTTTCTTCTTCTTCATCATGATAGCACTTTTCAACGCCAGTCCACAGGTCAAACGACAGGTCATGGCTGTTTTCACCACCGAGATAGCCTTTCTTTTTTCCATCCCCTTTCTGGTAATCTGCTGGTGCACATCTGCTGTCAGCTAGGTCGTTTTTGAATGAAAGTGCTGCCTGCCGAGAGGCGGCCTTCTTTGACCACGTTTCGGTCTTCTCGATGATGGTCGGCAGAAGCAGTGGCGGTTCTGAGGGTTGGTCGCCAAAGCAAAAACCTTCGCCACTGTAGAGACCGTCATTGCGGAAGTGTTGTTGTCCACCTTTGACTGTCGTTGTAGCTGCTGCTGCTGCTGCTGGCGAGCTCATCTAGCCAAAACAACCCGAAACTGTTTCATGCAGAAAGCGAAACGAAAGTAACAAAAACAGGTCGTTGCAGAAGGAATGGTGAGGATGATGGTGATGATGGCAGTGGTGGTGAAGATACCAAATAGTAAATAAAAATAGAGAAAAAAGCAAAACAGCTTGTACTACAGGCAGGCAAACGCTAACGGAACATGAAGTAGCCGGACTGAGGAAAAACAGCAACGAGTGCAACTACATTAACAACAGGCAAACATGGCATTTATCGAGTTCGCCAATCACCGTGATATTGCCCTCAACTCGGTGAATCATTGGCCTGCTCCTCTGCCTGCAACTTTACACTTTCACCCTCTGTTGTGGTTGTGGCGGTGGTGGTGGTGGTGTTAGTGGTCACGTCATTGATTGTGCCGGTGATGACGGTTTCGCTGCTGCTATTGTACCCTCAGCGCCAGCAAAAACAGCAAAAATTGTTAACGTGTTTTGCTGCTGTTGCTGTTGTTGTCACACCAGTTGACAGCGCGGAAATTGAAGTGCAGAAATGTCAGTGCGGAACAAACGTTGAAATCAACAAATTCTGAAAGTAGACAAAAATAGAAAAAGAATTTTAGCTGTGGAGAAGTTGTAATTTTGTGTTTAATCAATGTATAAAATTGTGAGAGAAATTAATTAATGTTAGGTAAAACACGTAAATGCTGCATCTGAAAATAAACAGACAAAAACAAGATTTTTTGTCCTTAAAAAAATCAAACACAATAAAAAAATGTATTGAGGTTTATTAGCCATTGCCTTTTTAGCAATTAAACTAGATTTAATTGACTCAAAACTAACACTTGAAGTAGATCAAATATGAGAAAGTGCGACGCTGATGATCAGTCAAACATCCATTTTGGACCACTTCTACTATGCAAGTACTATCCACTCACTTGTAACACTGCAATTATATGGTAATTAGGCTCTTCTTCCTAACAGCAACAACAGCAGCAGTGATGATGGAGCGGTAATAGAGCACACAAGTAAAAGTGTTTTGCAAATTAAGCAACTCTCTATGAGCCTGTCAACTGTCAACTGGAGCGGTAAAAGCAGTCAAACAAAGGCGACCACCACGGTAATATGGTGAAAAAAAGTATGCAAAATGGTAAAATGAATGGAAAACTGGTAAGCGCACAAAAATGCAAAAACACTGCAGTGAATCAACAATCAATTGCCATTTGTCTGTTGTCTCTTCATTTATTGTTTTTAATGAAAATATCCCTTTTTCTTTTGCCCTCCTCCTCCTTCATTCCCGATGATTGACTGTGTCTCGGTGTGTGTGTATTTGAATACTTTACACAAACTACGCCAGTGCAGCAGACAAAGTGTGTCACAAAGTGCTCTGACTTCTCTAGTGACTAGTAGTGTGCACTGTGCACCTTTCTTTTAATTAAACACACTCAAAAACACTGTCACCAGTCAGAGAGAAAAGGTACAATTGAAAAGAAAGAGGAACAAGCAATTGACACACTGCACGCCACACAAACTATTGTTTGAGCCAGGCAAGCAGACGACAACTGCAAATTATTTGACAGAAGAAAAGTATATTTGTCAGCAAAGTTGACATATTTTTAAAAAGTCTACATAGGAAAAATCAATCTGCGTTTGAAAAGTTCACAGGAGTGTAAAGTTTTGCAACAGCAAAATTGATTATAAGCAATTACAAATTCCTTTTTTATTTTTTTTGTGACATATTGTTTTTAACAACAACAGCAAGCTGCATACCTTAATAAACACCACAAATTGGCAAAAAATTAAACATATTTTGCTCGAATTTTAAGTATAAAACAGAAATAGAAAATGCAGAAATCTGTTTTTATGTCATAACTGTCGCTAGTGCTGGTACTAGTGCTAGTGCTATTGACAAGTGAACATGGCAATTGCGGGACAAGCTAGGGTATTCAGTCATTCACGTCAATAAGCGTCGCCCGCTTGAAAACATGTGAATTTGTGTGTGTGTGTGTGCGTGTGGGCTGAATGCCAATCCAGCAACAGCAGCTAGGGGCGAAAAGTTTATTTCACAGAGAAAAGAGAGAGAGAGAGAGAGAGAGAGAGAGAGAAAGAGAGAATCAATGGGGCCTGAATCACAGCAGCCCACAACACACAGGGGCTAATCACTGAAACGAGTTAGTGTGTTTGGGAAAAAAGAAAAAGTGAAAAGAGAGAGAGAGAGAGAAAGGTCAACCAGAAAACAAGATTTTTTTCCTATTTTTTACCCATTCTCCTCTCTGCTTTTTCATTTTTCAAAAAGCCTAGGCATGTGTTTGACATACATTCCAGCCAGTCAGTCAGTCAGTCAATGGTACTAGTAGTGGTAGTGGTAGTCAGTGCACCGCTTATCACCACCACCACTACTACAGTACAGCAGTTAGGGACAGTGGCGACCGGAAATACCAGTTGACAGTAAGAGAACTGGGGGTGCAGCCAACGGGGGCGTTTTCTGACCGGTCAGCACTGTTTTTTATGCGCTGATTGCCAGTGCTCAATCACAAACACACACAATCAGAAAGACAAAAAGTTGATGGTCAAGCTCTGCGACAGTTTGTAGCCAACAACAAACAAGATATTCGGACGTCTTCGTTTCGCTTCGTTTCGCTTCGTCTTGTCTCGCCTTTTGCCGTCATTTGTCACACACTGTGTGCAGTGTGTGCCTTACTGCTGCTACCTGCTAGTTCTGCTAATGCTAGTGCACTGGCTGACCAGCAGACTGCTGAACTACAAACGGAAACTGGGCAGACTGAGAGCACCTTTCAGTGCCTTCAGTGCCTTCTTCTTCTTTTTTGCTCCTTTGCATTAATAAAAACACAGTGAGCGAAAAAAAGAAAAAATAATGAGAATGAGACAGAAGGTGGACACTGAAGAGAGGACACTGGAGGATATAAAAACAAACAACAGCTACCCAAAACAATTAGCCAGCAAAACTGAGCGAGAGAGGAATAGAGAAAAAGAAAAAAAGAAAGGAAACTGTGTTGTGCTGGTTTCGGTCATTACTGTGATTATTAGTAGTACTTGTAGTTGTTGTTGCTGCTTCTGCTTCTGTTTTTGTTGTCGTAGTCGTAGTTTTGGTTTCTGAACGGCTTGGTTCCAGACCATTTGAGTACCTGCTCACTCACTGTCTCTCTTTTTTCTTTTTTCGCCTGCTTTAGAAAAACAAAGCACCCTCAGCCTGTAATTGCCCGGTAATTAGTCATCGGTAGGTAGGCAAGCAGGCTCGGTGTCCTTTGTTAGAGATACATGTTCATAATTCGACATTCATATGAGTGCTTGCAGTGTGTTTGTGTTTGCCTGCTGGTGTCTGACTATTATTGTTAGCGGGAGTAGCTGTTTTCAGGCAAGGTCACTCGCACAAAGATTCATTGAGTTTGCCGCAGATTAAGCAGCAGTGGAACTGGTGGTGATAATTCACCAGTTACGGTTAACCACCACCACTGTTTATAAAAACAAAGAGAGTTCAGATGTCGTACAAAGATGATTTGACATTGCCTTGATTGTTCTGTCTGGAGAACCTGTGACGATTAATGAGCATTCTCTGCTTGAAAAGCAATTTTAAACCGGATTTTAATTTTTTTCTGTTGCTTAGCAAATTTTATTAAACTATTTTTTTAGGTTGTCCTTTGTTTGAACTAATTTTCCTCAATATTCAACCGTTTTTTATAATTGCATTACGCTGCCGTTTACCTGCTAAACGTTGTTTTACTGTTGTATTTATGTTTATTTTTATTTTCTAACAATTGTTCTTTTTAGCTATTTTTGCCTATTAACTACAATTCAATAATTTTTTTTATTATTTTTTAGATTAAACATCACTACAAAAGTANTTTTTATTTTCTAACAATTGTTCTTTTTAGCTATTTTTGCCTATTAACTACAATTCAATAATTTTTTTATTATTTTTTAGATTAAACATCACTACAAAAGTA